TTGGATTTTATCCTTGCCTTCCCTTTTGTCAAATGTGACTCTCGAACCTTTTTCGTTGGTTTATGTGGACTAGGAGTCGTTTAAAAGGGGTTTCTTACTACTTTTTTCTATTTTTCTTTAAAATCCATTTTTAGGTGACTTGGTACACCTTAACTCATTACCAAGTGGCGACTCCGTATTTTGTTTCAAAAAACCCTTTTTAAACTATAACTTTGGGTCAAATCGTCGCATTCTCAAACCCCCATTTAGACCCATTTTTTCTTTTAAATCACAATTCATTTTCCAATCACAAAAAAAAAAATACATTTTTTTAAACCATTTATTTTATTTATCAAAAAAATGGGGCGCGACAGTTGGCGACTCCACTGGGGACATTCGAGAGTCCAAGCAAATTTGATTTAATCGACCTTTTTCTTCTTTTAATCTTTTCATATATCACATTTGGGTGTTTAGGATTGCATTTTTCCTTTTATTAGGATTTTTGCATTTCACGCGTATCCAACTACTCCCTCGCTCGTGAATGTATGATTGGTTGATTGGATGTATGTTTACTTGCTTACCTCGCGCTTGCATTGCATTTGGGTGGGGGACATACCCTAGAGCCTCGCGTTGGTTCTTGATCCCTCCCCTCCAAACGAGCACAAGCATACGTGCATGCGCTTTTATTTATACCCCTCATTTATTTTTCTTTTAGTGGCTTGTCACGCCACTCCACCCTTTTAGGATTTTAGACGACTCACTTGGACGTGTGACCGTGACACGACGTGTGCGTAGCACGATCCAAGGGGTCACTTAATCTTCCGCTTTAAGCTTTGGGTTAATAGCCTTTAGCTTTTAGTCGAAAATTAAGGATTTTTGATAGATTCACTCAGACATGTGGCCGTGACACGACGTGTGCGTAGCAATGTCTGGGAAATCGCTCAAGCCACCGACAAGGAACCTTGGGAGTGATGACCTTTGGTTTCCAAGTCTGAAGGCTCGGGGACCTATGACCTATCGAGTCTAGATGCATTAGTGAGCCCCAACCTCATGCATCCATTTTAGAATTGCCTAGGGTAGAGTCGGCCTTATCCTAAGCTAGGGACACTATTCACGAGGGGAGGGGTCCAACCCCTTTCTCCTTTTTATTGCTTTATTTCCTTGTGTTGATTTCGTTGCTACAATGTGTTATGTGTATATATCTGGCTGAGCTAATTTTTCTTGGTTTTATGACCCCATTGCATTCACAAACCCTAGCAAATAAGAGGTCTGGCATGACCTTCTTTTAGGGCCTACCCGTGTAAATAGGATATTGCACGTTTAAAAGTTTTGGTATATTATGTTCATAAATTAATAATGTCATTTTAGGCCCACCCTGGCAAACAAAGGGCTCCTTAGGTCACATCTCATTTCAAATTGCATGTTTCCCTGCTTTGATAAGAATGGCATCATGCATAAGCCTTAGAAAGGGAATGCCACTTAGGGAATCCCACCTTAGGGATAAGCCAACCTTAATCCCATGGGTATTTAACCTAATTTTTGGGATTTGCATGTTTAAATTCCTGTTAACCTGAGAAATGGGACCTGTAGGTAAGGTATTTGACCCCGGTTTTGATTTCTAGACGGAAAATCCTCGCCGAGTGCAACAGATGTTAGTAGTGCCGCCGGAGGTACAAAGATGGCCCACGTTACTTTCACCCAGTGAGCTTAACCAAATAGCCGATCGATTAGGACCCGTTGGGGATTTCAATGACATTAAATCCGATGGCTACTTGGTGGAAGCTTTGGTGCATCTCTGGGACCCCATTTGTTCTGCTTTTAGACTTGGGAAAAGGGAGATGACCATAACGATTGAGGAAGTTGCCGGATTTCTCAATTTGCCGATCCAAGGAACTGCCGTGATATTTCCGTTAGTGTCTAACAAAGCTGAATTTTGCCGTTTCACTGGGATAAAGGAATCAGTACTACAAGGGGCAGACCAAAATATAGAGGCGAAGTTCTTATTTGATCGATTCGCATTAAGAGATGGTTTTGAGAGGCATCGAGGGGATTTTTCGTTTACGTCCAAGGAAATATGGGAACGGAAGAGAGTTTGGGTATATGGATTAGTCATGGCTGGAACCTACTTTTTCCCTAGGAAAGACAAAAAGATAGCCTTTAAGTTCACTAAAATCTTGTACGACTTGTTTCTAGGAATAAAAGATAAACAGTGTTCCATTGTTCCAACTATTTTGGCCGACATCTTCATAGCTTGCACTACCTGTCAGAGAGGGAAAAAGTTCTTTTGTGGGTCAAATTTGATTTTACATGTGTGGGGGATGGAGCACTTCATGAGACGACCGTCTATTCCCGAGAATCTACCAATGACCGGATATAACTGGGTAATCACACATCACAAGAGGATCAATAGTAGGAGTTTACCGTGTAATGCATCCGAGTTTGTGAACTTTTTGACGAATGCGACCAATCAAAATGTGAGATGGGTATTGGATTGGACCAATTGTGTCAAGCCTGTCCTTCGCACCAAGGCATCCGAATTTGTTCCTTTATTGGGTACTCAGGGTATCATGGCATACAATCCAAGAAGGTTCCTCCGACAATTAGGGCGAGTTCAAGATGTGCCGTCTGCAGTTGATCTGACTACATTTACCATCATTTTCGACAAAGGGATATGTCCGAGAGAAATTCCGATGAAGATCCTTTTTAATGAGGCCTGGGAGACGTTGTCCGACGACGAACGCGTCAAGTACGTTCCGGAACTCAAACAAAGGGGATTGACCACTCCGCAATACGAAAACTGGGTAAGAGGATCCGTTGCACAAGAAACACAAGATGAGCCATCTGAAGAGGTGAAAAAGTTGAAAGCCATTATCGAAGCAAAGGATAAGGAAATTCTGCAGTTAAGTAAGTCTGTCGAGGCATACAAAGGGATGGCCGAGCAAAGCAAGCAATTGTATGAAAATGAACGAGGAAGGCGTCAAGAGCTGAAAAGGAAATGTTCAGAATTATATGACCAAACTGAATGTGTTAGAATTCCATATGCTAGGGAAACAAAGGACTCTGTATTAGATAGGTTCAGAAGTTTTGGCAATCTTGTACGGAATCGTTTTCGTGACATGATGTAAATATTGGCAAGTTTATCAATGAAAATGATTTCTCCTTTGCTCTCATTTTGGATTATTGTCAAAAACAGGTTTGTATTACGGGTTCCATTTCGAAGGTGTTGCATCATGCTAGGCCTACCCTTGGCATAAAAGGGCCCCCCAAATAGGACATGCATCCGAATTGTTTGAACAATTACTAACTCATGTCTTTTTCTTTTTTTCTTTTTTTTTTGAATAAATTGCAGAAATTCAGTAATCATTGGTTTATCTAAAAGAAGTCTTTTGTATCCTCAGGTAAATTTTCAAAATAGCTTTTCGGAAAAGCCCCATTATTACGCGATCCCGAAGTAGAGCCCAAAGGAATCGTGTAGACATGAGTACTCAACCAGAATCATCCGATAAGGCCGTTGCAACTACCCAGCCGGAAGCTGCAAGTCCTGGGGTTCAGTTGACAGAGTTACTCACAAAATTTGGGGAAATGGCATCAGAAATGGCCGCTCAGAAGAAGTTGATTGACGAGCTCGTTAGTAGCGGAGTGCAACCTGAGCCTGTACCCACTACACAACCACAATTCGAACCATTTGTTATTCCTCCATTTCAAACCACGTTTGAGGGAACTTTCAACCCGCAATATGCTTTTACTCAAAATCCTCCTTTCTACCCTCCTTATGGTCAAGGATTTCAGCCTCAAGGCGATCCGACCATGCATTTGAACCCACCAGTTTTTTATCAGACTACCGCAGAGCCCGTGGTGCCGGAGCACACTTTTCAAAACAAGCCAGAAATGGGAGAGTCGTCTGCCCAGATTGATATGAAGTTACTTAAACGCTTGGATCGTTTTGATGAATTTATCCGAAAAAGCCAAGGTTTAAGCAAACAAGGGGTGTTGGATTATGATGATTTGTGCCTATTTCCGAACGTGCAACTGCCGGTGGGGTTCAAGACCCCAAAATTCAACAAATATGATGGAACAAGCAACCCTAAAACGCACCTGCGCTTGTTTGCTAACAAGTTGGGCAAGCCAGTGGATGACGAGAATTTGCCGTTGAGATTATTTCCAGAAAGCTTAGAAGGGGATGCTCTCGATTGGTATTCCAACCTAAAGCCAGATGAAGTAAAGACCTGGCTCGATTTGTCCAATGCCTTCATTAGACAATATGAGTATAACTGTGAGCTAGCGCCAACCCGGACTACTCTGGAAGGAACGAAAAGGCGACCATCTGAAGATCATAAGACATATGCCAAGAGATGGAGAAAGATAGCTGCAAAGGTGGAGCCACCGATGACTGAGGATGAAATTATTCGCACATTCATAAAGGCGCATGATCCTCCATATTTCGAAGAAATTTTCCGTATGACTGGTTGTTCTTTTGCTGCAATTGTGAATAAATTGGAAGAGTTTGATGACTTTGTGAGAGCCGGAAAAATTGTTAATGTCTCTGCTCTCAAATCCCAGTTGGATGCTTTACAAGGTCAAGGAAGCAATGTAAAAAAGCCGCCGTTCAAAAAGAAGAGGGGGATGCAACCTTTATTTGGAACCAAAACCCTTCACCCAGACCCCGATACCAACACAGCCCAATCTACCAACCCCATTACCCTTACTACTCAAATCCGCATCCTGTATATACTACCAACATCCACCACCCTCGACCTCGCCCAAACTACCCTAACCCACCTTCAGCCCCTTTTCAAATTTTCCAACCAAATCCACCCCAAAACCGACCTCGCCCTCCATATAACCCAAGATTTCCCCCACCAAATAGACATGTTTACAACCATCCTCAATCTCCTGAATCTTACAACCGACCACCTAGCCGTACATTCACCAATTTAGGCAGGCCTCTGGACCAATTGTATGACCAGTTGAAGGCCGCCGGGAAAATTGGTACAGTACCCCCTCCTACCTACCCATATGGCATGTCCGCGTGGTATAATCCACAAGCTGTCTGTGCTTATCATTCTGGGGCCCCCGGACATGCCACATTTGATTGCAAGGCGCTTAAGCATAAAATCCAAGATATGGTTGAAGCCGGGGAGATTGTAATCCGGAAAAGGGAGGCGCAAGGGCCGAACGTAAATAGGAACCCTTTACCGGAACATGCCAATATCATTGGGGTTATTCTGGATGATACGGAGTATGTGGAACCAGTCAGAGAATTGGCAAGGGAAGCTGAAGTGTTTGGGGTCACAGACCAACCCTTTGTCATAGAATTTGCCATTTGAAAAGGACGAAAAGCCCTTTATTTTGGATCTCACGCCAGCTGAGAGTGAGGCTTTGGAGCCAATAGTCGTCGAATTCCCGAAGCAGGAGCCTGTCCTGAGCCTGCAACAAGTACCGTGGAACTATGATGAACCTGTCATACAGATTGGGGAAAAGATAATTGCAAAGGAAGAAGTGTCAGCGATCACCGGATCGGGGAAGGTTGCAAGTCCATTTGAAGCTGCCATTCCGATTCAAGCAAAAAACTCCGAGCCGCCCGTTAAACCAACAATCACCGAGAAAGAAGCCTTGGATTTCCTTAACAGACTTCAGAGAAGTGAATACAATGTAGTTGAGAAGTTGAGCAAGTCGCCTGCCCAGATATCCATGTTGAATCTACTTTTTTCTTCAGATATGCATAGGGACGCGCTGATCGAGGTGTTGACCAAAGCTCAAATCCCTAAGGATATTTCAGTTGATAATTTCTCACACGTGGTTGGGAACGTATTATTCACCAAACAAATCACTTTCTCTGACGAGGAATTGCCGGCAGAAGGCATTGGACATAACAAGGCCCTGTACATAGTTGTGAGGTGCAACGGAAAAATGCTGCCGAAGGTATTGATTAACAATGGATCCGCTCTTAATATATGTCCCTGGAGCACTTTGGAAAAGTTAGGATTGCAAGACGTCAAGCTGAGGCCTTCAGGGACCATAGTCCGAGGTTTTGATAGAGCGCAAAGAGAGCTAATAGGAGAAATTGATTTAGTAGTTGAGATGGGACCCGCGCAGTTTCAAATAACCTGCCAAGTTATGCACTTTCCTAGTGTTTACAACGTTTTGCTTGGAAGGCCGTGGATTCATAAGTCCGGAGCCGTGCCGTCTTCATTGCATCAGTTGCTGAAGTTTGTAGTAAATGACAAGCTGATCACTATATTTGCCGAGGAGGATTGCCTTGTAATCACCGATTCCGAGTCCAAAGAAGAGGGTAGCCGAAGCTCCACAGTGACCCCTCATAGCACATCTGATATTGTCTCCGTCAGTTGGATAAAAAGGAGGAGCAAGCTCTATCAAGGGCCAGTGTTATGATGGCTAAGGAGATGATCCGTGGAGGCTATGAATTTGACAAAGGGCTGGGACGAGATCTGCAAGGAATTTTGAAGCCAGTGGAGATTATTGAGAAAAAGGATTTGTTTGGTTTAGGCTTCCGACCGACTGCTAATGATATCAGAGAAATGAAGGAGCGCAAGAAAGCGGAGAAAGAAGGAAGGCAAAGGGCTCTTGACATTCCACCCCTGCATTATACTTTCCCACGACCAGCCGAGGTGATCATGTCAGAAATCAACCCAGTTGACGAAATGGAAGCAAGTTTGGCCCAATTGTTCGTTGGGACAACATTTGAAGATAGTGTTTCAGGCGAATCTGAATTTCCTGACATCCCCGAAGGATCAATTCCCAATTGGACAGCCGAATTCCTGCCCGTTCGGAAGGAGTTTCGGTAAACTGAAAGGGGTTTATCATTCATGTGAAATTCATGAAAATACTTTTGCATCTGTAAATAGCCAATGAAAACAATTTTACTAACATTCGCGCATGTAAATATTGTTAAGTTTTCATTTTTCATTTGCTTTCAATCAAAGGTCTTTATGAAAATACACAAGTTGTTCTTGTCATATTGTGTTGTTTATAAGCTTGTTTATATTCATATTGCTTGTTCATTTGTTTGTTGTATGTTTATTTGCTTATTATCCCACATTCGTTAATTCTTTCAGATGGCCAAAAATAAAATTATTTGACCCTTTGGATATCACAATTCTGGAATTCAATAACGGCAATCTCTATATCACTCACGACTTGGAGGTCTGTGAATCCGAACTCCAAAGCGAGAGTGATAATGAGGAGGTATTCGATTCTTTTGCAAAGGACTTTGAACAATATGAGGAAAAACCAAAATCGAACCTGGAAGAAACAGAAAAGGTAAACATTGGCACTGAGGATGAGGTTAAGGAGGTGCAAGTTAGTATTCATTTGAATGAAAGACAGAAAAAGGAGATGCTTGAATTCTTGACCATGTTCCAGGATGTATTTGCGTGGTCCTATGATGATATGACTGGCATTTCTACTGACGTGGTAGTGCATAGGTTACCCACAGACCCTTCTTTTCCACCCGTAAAGCAAAAACCCAGAAAATTCAAACCAGATATAAGCCTCAAAATAAAAGAGCAAATTGAAAAACAACTCAAAACCAACATTATCATTGTTTCCCATTACCCAATTTGGCTTTCAAATCCAGTCCCTGTTCCAAAAAAGAGTGGAGAGGTGAGAGTTTGTGTTGACTATAGAGACCTTAATAAAGCCAGTCCTAAAGATGATTTCCCTCTACCAAATATTCACATTCTCTTAGACAATACTGCCGGACATGAGATTGAATCCTTTTGCGATTGTTTTGCTGGCTACCACCAAATTTTGATGACAGAAGAGGATAGGGAGAAGACTGCTTTCATTACCCCTTGGGGTACCTTTTGCTACCGAGTCATGCCTTTCGGTTTAAAGAATGCTGGAGCAACGTATCAGAGGACCATGACAACCCTATTTCATGATATGATCCACCGGGAGATGGAGGTCTACGTGGATGATATCATAATCAAGTCTAAGAGGGCAGAAGACCATTTGATTGATTTGAAGAAATTGTTCGAAAGGTTGCGGAAGTACAATTTGAAGCTAAATCCTGCAAAATGCGCCTTTGGAGCACCTGCGGGTAAGCTGTTGGGATTCATTGTTAGCAAGAAAGGCATAGAAATAGATCCGGCGAAAATCAAAGCAATTCGAGATATGCCAGTGCCGAAAACTCAGAAGGACGTGAAAAGTTTCTTAGGGAAGATCAATTTTATTGGGAGGTTCATTGCACAGCTAACTGCTACATGCGAGCCGTTATTCAAATTATTGAGAAAAAATGTACCGTTGTATTGGAATGAGGAGTGCCAACAGGCTTTCGACAAGATTAAAGACTATTTGTTGCATCCACCAGTCTTAGTGCCGCCCAAATCGGGTCGACCTTTGATTATGTATTTATCTGTACTCGATGGAGCAGTAGGGTGTGTCCTTGGGCAACATGATGAATCTGGAAGGAAAGAGCAAGCCATCTACTATCTAAGCAAGAAGTTCATGCAGTACGAGGCTAATTATTCATTCATTGAGAAAAGCTGACTTCACAAAAGGCGGTCAAGGGGCAAGCTATAGCTGATCATTTGGCGGAAAATCCAAGGGATGATGATTATCAGCCACTTCATACGTATTTCCCTGATGAGAAAGTTTTATTCGTAGGCGCTGCAGATGATATAAGTGAACAAAACCCTAAATGGAGGCTTTTCTTCGATGGAGCTTCGAATTCTCTCGAAGTTGGAATTGGAGCCGTTTTGGTTTCACCCGAAGGGAAGCATTACCCAACCGCTGCCAAATTGCAATTTGCCTGCACAAACAACATGACTGAATATGAAGCCTGCATTTTTGGTCTCAAAATGGCTTTAGAAATGGAAATCAAAGAATTGATAGCTTTCAGTGATTCAGATTTGCTCGTGCATCAAACCTTGAAACAGTGGATAACCAAAGATTCCAAAATTCTGCCCTACCATTGCAGTCTACTCACTCTGACCAAGCAATTTCGAAATTTGGAGTTCAGACATCTTCCACGTGCCCGAAACGCATTTGCCGATGCTTTGGCCACTTTAGCTTCTATGATCCAATATCCTGATGAATTGAGGATCGAGCCAATTCCGATTCAAATTCAAGACAAGCCTGCCCACTGTTGGGTTGTAGACAAGTCCTCTGACAATGTTCCTTGGTATAATGATCTTAAGGAGTTTCTCAAAACAGGATCCTACCCTCTGCATGCTGGTATAAAAGACAAGAGTTTTCTATGTAAAATGGCTTCAAAATTTTTCTTAAATGGAGAAGTGTTATACAAAAGAACCTCAGATTTGAACCTTTTAAGGTGTATTGATGAAGGCGAAGCTCAATACATGATGAAAGAGGTGCACAGTGGCATTTGTGGACCTCACATGAATGGCCATTTGCTAGCGAAGAAAATCATGAGAACCGGATACTTCTGGCTTACTATGGAGCATGATTGTATAGACTTTGTCCGGAGATGTATAAAATGTCAAATGCACGGTGACATTATACACGCTCCACCCACTGAACTTCACAGCATGACCGCCCCATGGCCCTGTTCAATGTGGGGTATGGACGTGATTGGTACAATCGATCCTCCCGCTTCAAATGGACATCGATTTATATTGGTGGTGATCGAGTACTTTACTAAATGGGTTGAAGCGGAGTCATTCAAACATGTCACGAAGAAGGTAGTTGCCAATTTCCTGAGAGATCGCATCATCTGTCGCTTTGGAGTACCCGAAACACTTATCACGGATAATGCCAAGAATCTGAACAATGACATGGTAGATGGACTATGTGAGCAGTTCAAAATCAAACACCGCAATTCTGCCATTTATAGGCCTCAGATGAATGGAGCTGTGGAAGCTGCAAATAAGAATTTGAAGAAAATTATCCGCAAAATGACAGAAAGGCACCGCGATTGGCATGAAAAGTTGCCTTATGCATTGATGGCGTACCGGACTTCTATTCGGACATCGACTGGGACAACGCCATATTCACTTATGTATGGGATGGAAGCTGTATTACCAGCTGAGGTTGAAATTTCGTCGCTACGAATCCTTATGGAAGCTAAATTGGAGGAGGCCGATTGGATCAAGCAGCGCCATGAGCAATTGGCTTTGATAGATGAAAAGCGATTCAATGCTATCTGTCATGGCCAGTGCTACCAGAAACGTGTGGCTCGGGCCTACAACAAAAAAGTCCACCGACGGGCATTTGAAGAAGGTGATAAGGTACTGAAGCGGATTTTGTCGATGCAAGATGAAGCTAAAGGCAAATTTGCTCCAAATTGGCAAGGGCCGTTCATCGTCCAAAAGGTATTACCTGGCGGAGCGCTTATTTTAGCAGAAATGGATGGACGAACTTTTCCTCAACCCATCAACTCAGATATGTGCAAAAAAATTTTCCTTTGATCATGCAAATTTTCTTTAGAAATTCATGCAAATGGTGAAATGCAAGTCAGGCCATCTTCTTTTACACTAAAAACATTTTATCTCTACTTGTCCCCTTTGAGCCATCAGAATTGACAAATTTCGTTTGATAACCCTTGAGAATTGCAAACCCCACACTGGGGCAAATTTATTTTTAAAAAAAAAAAAAAAACCCTACACTGGGGCAAATTTAGTTTTCAAAGAAAAATGCAAAGGTGAGGAAAAAGCAATAAAAAATGCAAAAAAAGAGAAAATCCGATCAAACTGGGGCAAATTTTCCTCAGTTTCAGAGTTGTTTTCAAAAGAGTGCAATCTCAAGTTATTTCACCTCTTATATCAAAATTTGCTTTCAAGTCTCAACTTTTCTTGAAAAACACCCCACCTGACCTCATTACAAAGCCCAAAGCCCTGGCTTTCGTCACTTGCTGCATTTCTATTAGAAAATTTACTAATCAACTGGCAGGTGATGTCTCCAATGTCTTCACCAAATTTTACAAGAGAAGTACATTTTACTGATGCCAGAAATCTTTAATTCATGTTTCTGAGTCGATCATGGTCGAGATATTTAGGTGAAAACCCGAAAGGGCGCCTCGAAAAAAAAAAAGAAAAAAGAAAAAAAGAAAGAGAAAAAAGAAGAAAGAAAGAAAAAGAAAAGAAGAAAAAAAAACAAAAAAACAAAAACAAAAAGGGTGGGGGCAATCTTGGTGAAAACCCGAAAGGGCGCCAAGGTAGGTTTTCTCAACAGACAAGCTCAAGAAGGAATAGCCGGTGACCTGGTTCATTTAGGGTTTTCCTCATATTTGTGATACTTCTGCCAATATCGGATTCCGAAGAGAAAATATCCAAAGTCTTGAATATGATATTCGCTGGCTAAATTTGTATCGTTCTTTACAAATATTCTTTTGCAAAATGTATCTTTATAAACCTCTTGGTTTCTCAATTATTTGTGTATGATTGCTTATGATTGTCTACATTCTTTTGCAT